AAGGAAGGAAGGAAGGAAGGAAGGAAGGAAGGAAGGAAGGAAGGAAGGAAGGAAGGAAGGAAGGAAGGAAGGAGAGGGAGAGAAAAAAGGAAGGAAGGAAAGAAGGGAGAGAGAAAGGAAAGAGAGAGAAAGGAAAGAGAGAGAAAGAAAGAGGAAGGAAGGAGAGAGAGAAAGCGAGAAAGAAAGAAAAGAAAGAAAAAAAGAAAGAGGAAGGAAGGAAAGAAAAGAGAAAAGAAAAGAAATCAATCCAGGATTTTTGTTCCTACCACCCAACCCTCTTTCACCTTGGTAGCCACGTGCTCCTTCTAACCCCAAAAAGGTAGTTCAGAGTAACCCATGGCACCACAAAATAAATATTAACTGTTCTAACATGCTAAATAAATATTAACTCTCCGCACTTTGGAGAATCAGACTCTTTATTTACGTGGGTGGGGATGATTTTGTGCCTCGGTTCCTTTTAATGGTGACCCACAGCAGGCCTTTGTTTTCAGCTGTTTCTCCTCCTGAGTCTTTCTCTCTCCCCCATAAATTGTCCTCTCTGGGTGCACCATTCCTCTGGAGTCAGCCCCACTGAATTCAGCAAAACTGACTTTTGAGTAGACCTGTATAGGCTTTTATTTATCAACAAGATTTCTAGCCTGTATTTTCAGCTGGCCCATTTGGAAGAGCTAGTGACTGGATTCCTATCTATCCTCCTGAAAGCCTCTAATTGTGTCCACACAACAACAGCCCTGTGAAGCAGGGGGTTGTCCATCGATCAATAAAAACAGGGCAGAGTCCCACGGTATTTAAATTTAATTCACTTCATGAGCTATGCCCAGCTGAGTTCTCTCCAGATGTCCTGGGACTGTAGCTTTCAGAATTCCCACAATTCATACTGGGAATTCTGACATTTGGGGAACTGGGCAATTTGGGGAATTGCCTTGAAACTCTGGATGCTGGAGAGACTGGACAAGACTGTTACAAAAGCTGACATCTTTGGGCACCAACCATCCTGGGATATCTCACTTGATGCCCACCAGGGTCTGTCCTAGCAGATGATGATGATGGTAATGATGGATATTATAGGAGGAGGATGTTAGTCTACGGTAGCAAAAAATCAGTCATGTGGCACCTTTTCTGACTAACAAATCTGTTTAAAAGGCATAGAACTGTAGCATCTGAGGAAATATACTGCAGCTCACAACAGCTTCTGCCTTTTAATCACATATGTTAGTAAAGGTGCTACCAGACTTCTGATTTTTTGCTACCATCATGGACAATCACGTCTCCTGGAGGAATTTTCCTGCATGTGGCAGAGGGTTGGACTACATGATCCTGGTGGCCCCATCAAACCCTACACTTCTAGGATATTGTGTTCTTTTAAATAAATACACATATGGGAAGTTGGCACACTGTAAACCAGTGCACCAGCCTCAAGCGCCATTTTTAGTTCTAACAAGGCCTCGGGTGGGTGGGAGGCAAGGAGATCCCAGCTGAAAATAAGAAGACAGACAACTGCAAAGCAGTTGGGATGATCTCACTCTTACTGCCACAAAGTTGTGTTCTGGGGTTTTTTACTACTGCAACCACCTGCTTATTAGTGATTAAGAGAGTTAAATTTTTGACAGACCCGTGGGGAAGGAAGGAAGCACAGCGGTGCCTACTTTTGAGCAAACCAGCATAAGAGTTCAACAATGATCAAGATACATACAAATCATGTCAAATCACTGTCCTGTGTTGCATTATAGGAGATGATTCCCAGTTGAGTTTGGCAAAAAAAAAAAAAACCCAGCTCATGCATTTGGCATTAAAGCTATTCCTGGATTCCACCAAGTTGGACTAGACACAGGGGAAATGGGTTGTGTGCATTAATTGGAAGTGTGTCTTACACTGAAGTAACAACTGAAGCAGTGCCTTGAGAAGAGAAATCTGCAAGGCAGAAGATTCTATTTCAGACTTCTCCAGTCCCTTGAGTGGCAAAGAGAGGCTTGCAAGATGCCCTAAAAGGAGAAGGACAGGAAGGAGAAACTCTCAAGAAGTTGTAGCATTATGTGATCTCTCCTGAGGGACATGTTCTTGGTCCAATCAGCTTTCTGTTGACAAAGTCCCTGGCACTTATCAGGAGAAAGTGATAGCTCAAAGCTCATCAGATGGTATAAAAGAAACCAGCCAGTCTTTTATATCAAAGGCAACTTTTGGTCTTGTTTCTCCAGTAGGTACTCCTTGTTGGAACTGTGGCATGGGAACAGGACAAGAGGGATGACAGATGGAGCTGGGATGGATGGATGGATGGATGGATGGATGGATGGATGGATGGATGGATGGATACCTTAAGACAGTTTCCCATTCTCTTCCAGGAACTTTGTGGATTGCACTCTTCCCTGTCTTTTCTTCCTTTCTGGATCCATCCTGTGCCTAAATCCAAGCCAAAATGCCTGGTGGGTACAAAGGAGAATGTGGAGATGATGTGGATCCAATGCCCTTTTTGGCTCCCACTGAGAAGGAGAAGATTGAAGCCATCAGTAAACCTTATGACATCAAGAAGTCATGTTGGGTGAAGGATGAGAAGGAAGGCTTCTTGGCTGGAGAGATCCAATCAGAAACTGATACCCACGTCACGGTGAAGACAGTGACCAATCAGGTGATTTGATAGAATGGGAACAACTCCAAGGACTTCACTTGGACTTCTTATGTTTCTTAAGTTAGGGGCTGGGTTGTTCAAACTAAGGGGACAAAACTTGCAGGGAAGATCAGGTAGAACCTATTTTGAATGTTGCACTTAGTGACTGAATGGCTGAAGTTTCCACTTATAAACCATCATAGTATACAGTATAATGGTTAGAAGGGTCTCAGAGATGTCTAGTCCAACCTCTTGTCCAGTGCACAAATCCACTATTACAGCATCCTCGACAGATAGTCTTCCAGGCTCTGTTTAGGCATCTGTAGAGAAGGAGAGCTTCCCATCATTCAAGGCAGTCTGGTCCCTTATTGTTAGGGAGTTCTTCCTGATGTCCAAGCAGAATCAACTCCTTGTAATTTAAACCCACCATTTCATGTCTTCAGGACAGGCAAATGAACCAGAGCTTTACATGATTTTCCATATCTGTGAATTTAATGTCATTTATTTCATTTAAGTGCTGCCTGACTCCAAAATTACTCTGGGTGGCTCACAACTGTCTTTTGCCCTCACAGACAGTCACCATAAAGAAGGATGATGTCCAGCAAATGAACCCACCTAAGTTCTACCAGGTCAATGATATGGCCAACATGACTTTCTTGAATGAAGCCAGTGTCTTGGATAATCTCCGGCAGCGTTACATTATGATGAGGATCTATGTAAGTGAGAAGATGGGTGGAAGCATTTGGGTTGTCTGGAGACATCTTAGAGGTGATAGGACCATCTTTCATTCCTGGAGGCCAGATATTTGGGAGATGAAGGAGGATCCCTACTCCATTGATCCACAAAATGCAAATCATTTTGCTGCTTGTAGTAGAGAATAAGATGGCACCACCCTCCCCCTATCAGTTCTGTGCAGAAGTAAATGGTACTGTATTGGCAGATGAAACTAATTTTACCAATTTCAGCACTGGTGAAAGGACAACATCCAATGATTCTAAGACCCCGCAGTATCTGTTTACATGGGATGTTGTTCCTTACAAGGAGATTTTCCAGAAAATAAAATAATCAAATTAGCTGGAAAGTTGGTTTGCTCCAAATGACAGAATATCTTTTCATTCTCACAGACTTGTCTTTTTGGCTCCAGATGCTGAATGGTTGTCTTTAAAATTTTGATTGACAACATTCATACATTATCCCCTCTTTACCCCAAAGTAA